GAAATAAATGATAAACAATAGGGACTTTTTTCTATTCTACCAAATTTTTTATTACTATATTTATAACTTAAAATGAAAAATATGGTTTTTTAGCTAATTTATATTCATGAAAATTTTTATTTTCAAAAACTCAAAACAACAAAAAATTTTATATAAATAATTGTACTATGGAAACCTTATAAAAGAATGTATATATATATACAATATAATGTATATTGCACACTCTATATAATAATTGTAAATTTAAATTTTAAATTGATTTATGTATTTTATTAAAAGTTAACAAAAAAATGCACGCAGACAACACAAAATACGGGGAAAAACAGCAACGACAGTAATAACCGCAAATGATTTCCTTATTTTCACAATAAATTATAATTTAAATCATAATAATTTTAACGCAATATACAATTACATGAAAACTTTTTAACAGCACTTCGCGCATCTCCCCGCAGTCCCGCTTGCTTCGAACATTTTTACCGCAAAAACTAAATACACCAAATGAAACTGTTGAAAAAAGTAAAATATTCACAGCGACAAAAAGCAAATAAAATATTTCCGCAAAACAAAATTTAATTGGTAAACACTTTTCGCTTTGCTTTTAATAAGGAGAGGGGTAATTTGAGGCAAATACTCATATAACAGCAACGAACAACCAACAACCAACAAACAAACAGCGAAGATGGCAGCATGGAATTTGTATCCTCGTAGGTGAGCTGTGTATTCCCCACTTGTTAAATTCTCTGATTTTAAAATTTGTGGGATATAAAGTTTTCCCAAGCAAAATCATTTATTTGCGTGCATATCATTTAGTGTGTGTGTGTATGTGTGTGTGTGAATGTGTCTTTGCTACAGTATTCCATGTGGTTGAAAATATACTTAGATTGCCACATCACCACTAATACTTAGCAACACAAAAAATTATAGTAACAGATTTGCGTGGCCCACTGAATATAGGCAAAGATGTGAATGTCATCATCATCACCACTGGCACCGGCACCGTTGCTGCTACCGACAACATCAACGCCTTCACCATCACCATCAACGCCACAGTCGCCGTCGCCATCGCCGTCACCATCGCCATCGCCAACGTCAAATTGAAATTGTGAATTAAGCCGCAATTCGCGCTACTCGGAAGTCGTTTTTACTCATTTCCGCTTGTAAAATTGTCGCTGATGACTCTGATGTTATTAAAATCGTCAAAATTAATGTGTTGCGGTGAAAACTTTGAATTTGTTTCTGCACATTTCCTACAACATTTTGTCATCTTATTTGCATATGAACTTGCATTCGCAATTCTCTATGAGGCTCAAATTACGAATATGAATTTTGAACTAGCCATGGCACGTACTTCGGAGTGACTTCACATTTCACTTAATCACGTCTGTAAGTGTTTTTGAATGATCTGAAGTCCGTAAGTGGTATAACCAAAAGTAATTTAATATACAAATCCTCACAACATTTGATCTCTTCTTAGTGAACTTAAATGGAATATTTTGAAATATTTTCTCAGAATTTATTCTACATATATTATGTATTTTGGCATTTGATAAAAGCATATTTTCAAGTTTATCAAACATATTTGAGTTTGAAATAAAATTAAAATTATGTTTGCAATCAAATAGCTTTTAAAATTGTTAAAAGTTGTGATTTCAAACAGTTTGTAAATGTTTAATGACAACATCGAAAAGTTGCTATATTATAAATTTTTAAATGTGTTATTATACATATTTGTGTTTTGTAATTTCATTTAATGTATCTTCGGATGCAAAGTGTGGATTTCGTGAAGAGTATGAGGAGTCGACCACACACGTGCTGTGAGAATGCCCAGCGCTAATGCATATACGAAATAGGCTCCTGATAATGTATATTCTTACGGAAGAGGAAATAAGAGTAAGTTCCACTCTAAAGGCAGAAGGGGACACAATAGACCCGATGGTCGCAGTGCCACATCGCCTAACAATAATGATAATAATAATAATGTATCTTCAAACCTTTTTTAAACGATTTGGCACAGATAACATATAAACATATAACATATAAATGTCCAACTACTACCATAGAATCAATATTTTTTACGTCGCTTAATGTGCTCGGAAACTGTGCATATAGTAACAGTGAGAAGCACCAACAACAAAATACATAAAGATTACACCTATTTGGTTATTGGCAATTTGCAGTACTGTTGCGATGTTACTCGATTACGGAATTTTGTAACTCATGATCGTGAAAACCCTTATAATTAAATTAAAAGTAAAACTTATGTAATTTATCCTGGGCACTTAAACGTATGAGTTCTTTGATTTGTAGTATATGTTTGAATAACGGTATGTTCTTGTAAATTTAACGGCGATCGAACAATAAAATTTCAAAATTTTAATGCATATTTATTTTTGATGTTATGAGACATCAATATTAAAATCATTTTCTTCGGAAGTCATTATTCTGGGACAGCTAAATTCGATGTAGATCAACCGAAAAAACAATACATTGTTTTTTTAACATTTTTCCCCTTGACAAACCTGTGCTGTTTTCACCACATCTAACTCCTTTTGACAGTTATGTGCTGTCAAAATCATTATCTACAAAAAGAATGCCGTCAATTTTCACACACAAACAACAACGCATAGCGACTATACTTAAACTACAAGTCACTATTGTGACTTTTGAATTTGAAACATATTGAACAATTATACAATAATATATTTATAATATATACAATTCATTTAATAATTTTCAATAGAAATACATAGTCTTTATTTGATTGAACACTATCATTATTATCGTGTAATACATGTAGTACTCTGTACCGACGTCATGGTACCTCTTTTTCTTCTATCTTTATCTTCTTTTTCTTGTTTTTGCATTTTTGACTTTGTACATTGTCCTCAACATATACCATATAAGCTATCTGTGTTTTAAATAAGCTAACTTTTATATTTCCATTCTATAGTTTTTGCAACTCGGTCAAAAATTTCTATCAATTCTATTAATTTGGGGAACTAGGATGTTTAAAATGCTTAATATATTATATACCTTGATGCATAGAAAGGCACAAGTGCTAATATATCGTTCTTTTGGAGCACAACAGCACTCTTTCTACATCGTAGATCTTTTACATTGCAATTGCTATCCTTCTGGATTAACCACATTAAATTACTTGCTTAAGAATATTAAAGTATTTTGGTATAGAACTATGATTAGCTTTTAAAATTAAGCAAAGCATGTTTATTGAAAATATGACATACTAGATGAAATTAAATAGGATAACGATAATACCGGTTCCAGGTTTCAGGCTACCGCATTGTCCAAACAAAACATTCAAATGCAAAAAAGTCTATGTATTCAAGTGTAGAATAATACGAAACATTTGAGGTAAGGAGTTAAAACTTTTAGACTCTTGTTTATGTACTTCAAAATCTACACAATAAAATTGACAAAGATATGCAAAGGTGGGTAAAAGATTATAGAACTATCATACGTAGGACTGATAAGTCATAGTCTATTAGTGACACAATCATACAAAATTTGAATAATAAACAGAGACGCATGTAGGGAGTACGGAGAGCTGGTAAAAAAAAAGATATTGAAACAACTCTTGTGTTACTTTAGGATTTGGAAAGTCAAAGATATTTTCAGGAAGGGAGTTTAAATTCTCCTAAAATTCGTAAAAGGTCCACATCCCATATCATAGCTATTACAAATCTATATAAAAATTTTATTTATCTGATATCACTAGGAACACAACGGTTTATATATGACATTAGGCCAGTCAAATTAATCTAAACTGACATAGCAAAAGAGATTGTTGTTTGGACATAGTTCGCTAATAAAAATAATATTAACAGTTAATAAAAACACAAGTTAGTCTTGCCTAGTAATTTAATAATTTTGATTTTATGGTGAGTCGAAGTGTGTAGAGAGAATATTCTCATTCTAAATCTTAAATGAAAGATGAGACTGATTATACGACCATATACTCGATAGCTGTAAGGATCAGAATTAATGATCAGACCTTCGTCATTTTTAAAAAGCGGGAACGTATTTAATGGTCTTTTAAATTTTCAATATACAAGATATGAAAATTTTTTTTTTTTGTGGTGTGTGGATCAATATTGACTAATGATTATTTCTGAAGCAAACTTCAATGCAAAATATTGTCAACAATTTTTTTTTACAGTTTCACAATTTTAACACATTTAATTGTTATTGTAAAGAAGTAAATGATTGACTAAGCATATAATGCTTTTGACTACAATTTTAATAGACATATGACAGTGAATCAGTGTTACCAATATATCAGAACGTCGATGAATAATTTCATATTTTAAAAAAATTGTTACAAATACTGTATTTACCATTGAAAAATTGAACAAGGTTTTATTTAATTAATTTACTAAATTCAGTTTTTAGAGAATTAAATTATTTGTACATATAAAAAATTGTGTATAATAGCTAAATTTAAAAAAAATGCAGTTCTTCACTTTATTCAATGTTTAAATAGTTGTATTCGATTTAAAAAAAATAAAAAACAAATACATAAATTCCTATTTCCTACATTTACTGAATTCAGTTAGCTTTATGACTTAGTCTTATTATTTATAAACAAACACCTATGAAAGTATTTTCTTTAATTAAATTTTGTCATTCTAATGAAGTGAATTGTTCTCAAAGCTTTTCCACTTGAGCAACGAAAGTTGCTTACTTCTTCACATTATGAAGCAAAGTTATTAACTTAATCCACTTACAAATATAATCGCATACATTACAATATGCACAAACGAATGTCAACACTTGTAACGCACTAACACTTTATACACATGCTCACATGCATGCTTACACATACCACGTACGTCATGTAGCATGGTACCCACACATACATATTTGTCCAATACTACACTGCTTTGAGGTTTTGCTCCAAATTTCTTGACTTTATTTATATTTTTGTTATTGTATTTGTTTTTGTTTTTGTTAACTTTTTCTTATACAAAACTACTTACAGTGTTTACTTTTCTCTGCTGCTACTTGATGCGATGTTTGAGCCAAAATAGCAAAAAGCATTACGAGCATTAGAAGCCATTTGGGAGTATTCGAAGCTGTTGTTAGAATATTGGTATGCCAAACTTTGCTGCTGCCGCTGCTGCCATTGTTGTTGTTTTTGTATTTGTTTTTGTTACTGCATTGTTGTAGCCAAGATCGCTGCACTGGTTGTTTGCAAGAGTTTTTATGTTTTTTATTTTTGCTGATGTTAATGCTCTTGATGTTGTTGGTTATGCTTGGATTATTGGAACTAATTTTGTTACTGTTGTTGTTGCTTCTGCCGATGTCGCTGCCGCCGCTGTTGTTGTTCTTTTTGGCTTCTATACTTAAATCATGCGAATATTTTGTATTGAAATTCAACGGCGGCCCGGGGCCACACGAAGTCGGAAATAACATATTGTTTTATGTTTTATTTTAAAATTTTGTTCAATTTTGTTGATATTTTATGTGCTGTTGTTGTGGTTGTAGCTGCTCTTATTGCAATCATTGTTTTTCAATCAAGCACACTCAGTTGCAGATTTGCGGCTATGCCTTATGTTTTCTGCCGAGAACATCAAAAAAATTTAATGTTGCTCATACGCAGTGTATATCGCCTGATATGTTGATTTAATTAAATTTTAATTAATTTGATCTGAAAAAATAATGAAATTGAATCAATTGTTATTATCAATTATATTTTTTAATTGGAATTTCAAACATAATCAACAAAATGGACATAAGGTTTTTTATTCATTTAACATATATCAATTTTCAAAGCATTTATTATTTTTAAAAGTAAAATAATATTTCATTATTGCTAGAGGAAGCAAAATTATTTAAAGTATAATGTCTACTTTAAATGCATCACTTTAAAAATAAAATAATTAGTCAATCTAATATTAACACAGTTATTTGCAAAACATTTTTAAATAAATTGTATATTAGGTTCGATTGTGCCGGCAAACCAAAGGTTCCACTTAGGCCTATTTGCCCGTGGGTACAGAAATTCTGTGTTGACGTATACAGAAAACTAAGAGGTTTAAAAACAACCTTGAACCTTTGGAAAAGCTCTTTTTAGTGAACAGTCTTAGAGTTGCCCTTAACTGAAGATCCTCAAAAAAGACCCATCTTATATATATTTGTATTATATATAGCTTTATAAAATTTTTTAAATCATTTATTACACAATGACACAAATGTCTTATTAAATCATATATTCTTTTTATAAACTGAAAATATAAATTGAATAAATATTACAAAAATTTCTCACAATTATTTTTACTTTTTTTATTAAAAAAAAACTATTCAAGAAAATTTACTTGAAAGGCGTTTGCCAAAAACTAACAAGTGCCAATTCTGTGCAGCTCTCAGACTCAATTGAGAATACAAGATTAAAATTTGAAACTTACTGCGTCTTGGCCATTTAGCCTTCCACTTGGCTATTAACCCAAGGGACAAATAAGACGACAGCACAAAAGCAAAATAAGAATAATAATAAAGAGTTTTGGTAATTTTAGTAGTAATAAAAAAATTTATACAAAAAAAAAATATAATATAAAAAAAATTACTGAATATTGTTGTTTCTACTGCTTTTAGAGAAAGCAATGAACTTTGAAGGTTTTCAGTTAGTTTTTCACTTTCTTTCTGCTTATGAAACACTGCCAAATGACATGAACATAATTAAACACACACATAGTTTTCTTCCACTCATATTATATGACATGTGTCCTTAACATAAAAAGAAACGTATAATTATCACAAAGGACATATTCATCCTTTCACAATTGCCATATTTTTGTGTAAATATGGCAATTTATAATTGAACTAATTCTCTAAAATTATAACAAAAAAATTGTTTTTGTACTCAATAACAGCAAAATAAAGGCTTCTATTCTTTAATGATGAAAAATCCTTTGTTCTGTAAAAGGGAAATACAAATAAAAGCTGATTGAATTTAATAGGACATATATTGTTATGATATGACTCTGGGAATAAATAGCCTAGCAAATGTTAAGAATATTCCATACTTATCAACATATATTTTTTCATAATATGTATATTTTATAAAAAACTTTAGTTTTGGGGGTTGATAAATTTAAAATAATTTATGGGATTATTTAAATTAAACATATTTATAAGGAAAATATGAATTATTACATTATTGTAAATACGAATTTTTTGAATAAGTAATAAATTTATTATCACAATGAATTGTATTCCTTAAGCTTTATAACATCCTTAAAATGTTTATACATGTTGTGAATGTAGTTCTTTTATATAAAAAAAGTTGTTATGATGAAAGTTTTTTTATGCACTTTGTTTAGAATGTACAAATAATAAAACGAAATTATTATTAATAACATAAATAATCCATTGCACACATCTCTCTACCGACGCCACGCTTACTCATTTTCCACCTGTACCATCTCTGCTTTGTTGTTCCACACGGTTGCATTTTTCAAGTTTTGTATTTTACAAAGGCGATCGGAAAAAGTATTCTAATTTATAGCAGTCATAATTGCACTAGAAAGTACTGTGTGCAATATTGTTGCAGCTATTTACTATCGAATAGATTAAGTAAGGTTAGGTTGGAGTGGCGGTCTTGTGCCTAAATCCCACTCGACCAATTGAATACCATAGATCAGCGTAGACTAGAACGATTTAAGTGAATCAACCTGACAAGTCTTTAAACTTGGGATGAGAACTCTATCAAGGCGCTAATAAAGCGTCCCAAAAATTTTAAATTTTATTCTAGAGGTGGAGTAAAGTTTTCTCTCTTCATCCGCGCAGTTACAATCCCAAAAAAAGTCATTATGGCCCTCATAATGACTTGCATTCCTTTCCAGCATGTCGTAAGTCCTTAACATCGATACTGCAGTGCTAAGTACGTTACACCTTAACTGCAGCAGCTGAATAACACGTATTTTGTCTAAATTGGATCACGCCGATCGTGATATTACTACAAAATATAATCAGAGTTCAGATAAGTAGTTTGTTTTATTTACATTTGCTTTTGGAATCAAAAAATTTATAACCTTGTAACACGAGTATTCCGTAGTTCAATATACAGAATTTAAATTTTACTTTAACTTTTATTGATGTATTAATATTTAGTTATATACTAAATATAGTTACTAAAAAGTCTTTAAATATTTTATAAATCTATTTAATTCATGAATATTTCGTATATTAATATTCTTTTCATACTTTTGTAATACTTTTAATATACACAAAATTTCAAAATTATTTAATTTTTTACGGAATATTTTTAAAATCTTTACTCGTTGAAAGCATAAAAAAACAAGATTAATTGATCGTAAAATTTGTTTAATGTACGCTCACATTATAAAAATATACACAATAGTAGTAAATATTGAATTTAAAGTTCAAGCTCCAGTGTTTACTTATCTGCCCTCACAGTATTTATTTTAATTATTTTTTGTTCGGGATTGTGTTCAGAATCGCAGTAAAAGCAACAAATAAAAAATAAATTAAAATTGCAAAAAAAAAATATGGACACTATACATAAAACAATTTTAAAGACTTCATTTTAATCCTGTTTGCCGTCATGACAGTAAAAGAAAAAAATAGTTCACAATATATGAAGGAATAAAGCAAAGGCGCAAAAAGAAAACATGATACCCAAAGGATTAACATCAAACTAGCGCATAGTTCTAGCAGACCAGCTATTCATTTATGGAGTCTCTCGGATCCATAGATGTGCAATGGCAGTAGTCAATAATTATGGTGACTGAAACTAAAGCAAAAAAAAATTAATTGAAAAATAAAACTTAAATGGAAACATAGCGAAACTCATTGTATGCTGGTTTAAAGTGAAATAGATATTCCAGCTCAGCTAGAAAAACTACTTATAGCGCACAAGGCTTTGGTAATTGACTTTTTTGAGCCTTCATACTCCCTTGAAAAAAATAAAATCGCTTTGCAATTATCCTTAAAGTTTAAAAACAACAGTGGTGTTAACAAACATAGAGGAGATAAAACCAGTAAAATACTAAGCATTAAGGATATATCATTCGCATTCGTTTGCATATGCATTTAGTCCATTTAAACTAAAATTAAATAAAAATAAAAAATTACAATGCAAGTGCAAATGGTACAGTAAATCCAATTAGCAACACTGGTCGTCTGCATTTACATGTTTTGTTATCCTTAAGCGGCCTAATTTAGTTTTTAATTAAACTTTCACAAAAGTGTTTTTCTTTCCAACTCTGTAGTTTATTTTAATATTTTTAGAATGTTTCCAATAACTTTTTAGAAATATACAGAATATTTTCTCAATGTTAATAAAACTTTGATTGCTTTATTTGCTTCGTTAATATCGTTTGGGATTTCATTCATGCGAGGCTCTACATAATAACAAAGACGCGTATATTTGCTAGTCTAATTATATATGCACATTACATTGCACGTATCCTTGAATGTAGTTATTTTTATATTAAAACCTCCATCACACACATATTTTAGTTTAGTTTTACATGACAATTGCATGAAATGGAAAATGGAAATTGAAAATGCGTATCCTTGCCAGCTACACTAGGACGACCTTCGTTGCTTTTATAATTATACTAATGATTTATTTTGTTTTTTTTTTGTTTCAATAATTTGATATAAAACAAATATGTAAATTTACACAAATTTTGTTATTTTATTTTTTACATATGATTTATTTTTTACTTTTCTTTATATCAATATCAATTAAAGGACCTCATACATCCATTGTCTTCAAGTTCATTAATAAACGGTAGTTGTTTAATCAAACAAAATATATATAGTTTTATATACGTAGATTTAAGTTCTTCATAGATTTTACATTCGATTTTAATAATTTTAATCAAGATTTTAATTTTACAGAACATTTTACATATTAGCAGAATTGTTTGAAAAAATTTTGTGATAAAAATTTGTAAGAAATTAAAATTTTCTATTTTTAACATATATATTTATTTATGAAAGCATTATATATATATAAATAAATATGTATATTAAGTCCATTTTTTTTTTTTTAATCTAAGCCAAGTAAAAAAATTCAACAATTATAAATATTATCCACAATCAATGGTTAATTTCTTAACTCTCAAGGATCAACCAAAGTTATTTTGAAATTTCTGTCCCACAATACACGTGAATGTATTATTTAATATGAAGGCTCCATATACACATATTTATATTATACCTTCATATACTTTGCTAAAATTAGGTTTTAAAAATATATTTCTGAAATTAGGCATAGATAAAATACAATTATATATTTAAATATTTTTTTCTATATTTTTTAATAACAGCGAAAATAAACCTAAAATACTTAATATACCAGGTTTGAAGCTCAAGATTCTTAAAAATGCCGTCTAAAAAAGCTTTTGTATATTCACATGTCCAAAGACTTTAATAAGTAGTCTCTAATAATTACATAATTCTTTATCACGACATTTATATAATGTCCAGTGGCTTCGCTAGAATTGTCATGTCGTGACAATAGATACCGATGTTCCAGCGAACATGATATTTGAATCAATAGCTAGAGAAAGAAAGCATAGAGATTGTAACAGGTTGTTATTTAACCCGTTGAGTAAGTAAGAAAATATTTATTCAAATCTTTTGGAAAAATTTATTCTCGAATTAAGAAAACCAATC